GCCCCGCGCTGAGAACATAAAGAGCAGTGCTACACCCTTTTTTCACTTGTGCCTTTCAGGTGAACGACAGCCACTGACCAACAAGAACAAAACCGACCGGGAAACTTGGGCAAAAGCCTCGATCCTGTGTATCAATCCGTGAAAACAGAATGTTTTCATTGAGAGGGGCACGGCGGAGCCTTTGAGGGTTTGAAGAAGAGCTGATACATCAGCCAGGGAAATGGTCAGGCTGCTCAGTGACGGGCGGTTACTCTGTTGTAGAAAGGTGAAATATGAGGCGTAGATTGTAGGATTGAACCTGGCAGAAGGATGTAGGTAGCAACTGGCAAATTAAGCATTCAAGTGATCGGCTATATTGAAAGGGTGATTGATAAAACTGCCGTCGTTGGAGTGCAGACAACTGGCTTGGTGACAGTTTGGGGTACAACGCCCAAGAAATAGGCGGCCGAGTAATTTACAGCTAGAAGGGCCCCTGAGAGCAGTGCTCTCTTCTCTGCTTTCGAGGGATACCCGTAAGGACTTTCGGTCAGTTGAGAGGTTGTTGATGAGTAGCATTGATGAGTAATCCTGGGATTTACGATATTTTCTGCCGGTTCGGTCTATTTTATTGCCCAAGGCTTTAAATAGGCTATCATGTCGAGGGATGCAAGGGTAAAAACTCTTAATGGGAGAGGCAAGGTAGAGAGAGGTCAATAGGTTTTGGTAGTCATCAAAGTCAAACTAAGGTTGCTAATATAACTATACTACCTGAGCCGGAACAGTTCACCGTATGTAGGCTGAGGTGGCGCGGTGAGGGTTACCAAGCACGTAACGACTGGTAGGGGTGTAAATCCCGAGTAGGTGGACCAGATTTCCTGGGGTTTAATAGTGAGTTGGACGATACTAAGACAATCTAAGAGGGAAGGTGTATGTAAGGGTGATGGTCACCAGTCCCCGGAGCACTAATATCAGCTTTACTCGATGAGTGGTGCATGATGAAGAAGAGTTCCCTGGTGCTTCACCGGTCGCTTGGCAGGGGCCAACACCCGCTGCTCAGAAAGAAAGGGTTGTCACGTCAATCAGTAAAACTGGTGACCAACTTTCGCTTGGCAGCTACGTGCCTATAAGCCTCACTAGTGTGCTATGCAAGGTGATGGAACGCATTCTGAACCAAGCCATTCTAGATCACCTTACTTCCAACGGTCTAATATCTTCAGCTTAACACGGATTACTCCCAAACCGTTCTTGCGCGACGAACATACTCGTACTTACGGACAGCTAAACCGAAGCCAAGGACGACGGATTCATTTTGGTGCCGTTTTTTCGACTTCTCAAAAGCAGTTTATCGAGTCCCACACGTCTCGTTGCTCCACAAACTTGAGTCCTGCAAGATTTAAGGGGAAATCCTACGCTGGATCAAGACGTCCCTAACAGACAGATCATTACTGATGAAAGTGGGCTCGACCAACTATTCTTCAGCACCGGCCACCATTGGAGTTCCCAGAGCTCCGTTCTGGGACCACTGCTGTTTCTGCTATACATCAGTGACCTTTCAGACGTCCTTGCAAGTCCATGTCTACCTTTTCGGATGACTTGAAATCTTGGATCTCCAATGCCAGAGCTATCCAAATGGATATAGACGCTGCAAAGCAGTGGTCGTTGGACTGGCAATTACCTCCGAATGGCGAAAAGTGCATCCATGTGCAATTTGAAGGAGACTCAGTGAACGCCTCTGTGAGAAAGGACCAGAAGACATCATGAGTATAGATGCCAGGAAGAATGTATGTATCTGGCTGCCCTCAAACATCTCCTTCTCACTGCGTCATGAGAAATTGGCAAAAAATGCATTCGCCGTTCTACAGATGATTCAGCGCACCTTGTCCCGTATTAGTCGCATGGACTGACAATCACTCTGTGGCCTGCGTCAAACCGCTCCTTGGATATGCCAACCGATTTGTCTGCTCAGGGCACACAATGGACGCAACCCTCATTATGCGTTTCCAGCGAGCTGGTATGAAAATGATTGCTGGTCTTAAATCTGAGGAATGCGAAACGTATTTCACACTGCTTGACCTCTTTCCCCTGAAAATCGTCGCTTCCGATGGGACGTAATTCTTACTTATGTCCGGTTTGAAAAAGGCCATTAGGTTTTCCACCGATGACCAAGAAAACACACGGCCGGGACATGTTAGGAAGATT